AGGAGTAAAATTCACTGTAAAATATATATATATATATATATATATATATATATATATATATATATATATATATTCATGATTTGTAATCACAGCATTTTTTCTTTTGTCAAATCAACTTAAATAATTTACGTAGTTCAGATAACATAATATTTTGAGTTTCTGATGATTAAATCAATCTCCTTCATTGGATTAACTCAATTTTTTCATTTCAATGAACTTAACATTTTAAGGAAACCAGGTTACTTAATTTTTTTAAGTTAAACTAACAATATTTTTTACAGTGTTCAAATAAATATATCTGAACTCACTTTAAGACCATCTCTGCTATTTTTTTTTTTTTTTTAAATGTGCAATAATTTGATATTTTCGCTGCTGAAGTTGCATGGCTGTCTGTCTGGAATACTTAATTCAGACTAAACATTCTTGAATATTATATGTATAATATATTAATATAACTTTAACCATTGCTCCTGGCAAACAATCTACTGCTATTTGTTTCTTTTAACACTCAAAATTTGTCACACTCTGGAAATAACATTATGCCCCTCTAAATTTGTCCACCACAAATGAAAATTTGTAACTTAAAAAAAAAGAGTTGCAACTTGCTATTGGGTGTTGCTGTCACAATTTATATTATAGTGGTTCCTGGCCTAAATTTAAAAAGAAAAAGAAAAATCCACTCCCAAGTCTCGATATTACAATAGATTGCACAAAAGTGAGAGATAATTTACATGCCAAAGTTTCATACTTCCGTAAGTATAATTGATGCTTGCCCTAGAGATTAGGATAAATAAAAAAAAACATAGATATTATTCAAGGTGTCCTCTGCTGCATTATTGATATGCACATATAAACAGCAGCTGGCACAGATACTTTAGGCACAAACACCAACAAATACTGTGCATCAGACGACAGAGAGTTTTCAGTTACACTCTTAATAAGAGCACACTTCCCAAACATGTCTCCTCAGCAGGGAGAGACCCTGTTGAGGATGTGACCATCACTAGACGTTGTTACCCCTCCTGAGACGTGTTGCCTTGATCACTTTCCATCACAGTGAGAGAAAAACACCGATCTCACAGGCTCCTAAAGGAGCACGTCTGGCTCTTCATTTTCAGTAGAGACTACAGTGCTCCCCAGCAAAACAACAGGGAACAACGGCTTTTTGTATAAGGCAACGCTTCCAACTTCCATGATATCTGTAGCAAATTCAGGCATAAATTAAAAAAAAAAAATCAAATAACAAGCATTGACTGTTTTTTCTTTACTTCCTCACATTATGAGACGATGAGTGGAAATAATTACTGATAAGTCCTTCACAAAAGAATGTACTTTACAAGTCCCTATGCTGCTGGCTTATACAGCAACGTAACAGTATAAGGGCAATTTGCTGTATCATGCCACTATTAGGCATCATTATAGCATATGTTCCTGCAGCATGATGTTCATTTGGTACTTGAAGTTCGCAGAAGACTAGGAATAGATCATACAAGACCGCTTGATAATTAGACACCAACAGGTCCATTTGCGCAAGAGGGAATTTTTGCACATGGGCATCATCTTTAGGGAAAGGAGCTTACCAAACAGGCTTTCTGCTAATGATGCCTGGCTTTACCCGCTCCCTTTTGAGTTTCCCTGGAGCTAATTTACTGGAACATCGCCACCGTTGAGACTTTTTCAAGCTTTCGTTCCTTTGGATACAGATTCTCAAGACATGGATAACGAAGGAAAGCAACTAATGCATGTCAGGCAAAAAGAAGGCCGCATCCTTTCCAGGTCACGTCACCAGAAAAGATGATTCATCCTAATCAGGCTCAAATTGGGAGTTTTTAATTATGGCAAGCATAATATGTTCTTCATCATTAATATTACATCAGGACATGGTAATGATGGAATGCAGAGAAAGCTTGCTTTTATGTCTTCCAATTTAACAGCCTTACACTAAAACAGGCCATATCCTATAAGAGCAAATTCAAAATGTTGCTCTGTCATACAGCTCCAGAGATTTAAAGGAGCTCTCAGTCATATTTTATTTAAACATCAACTTAACTTAGTTTCAGATTTTTCTTCTGAAGAAATCAAACAAAAACAAGCCAATTATAGAACATTCATGAAGCTCATATACAGTAGTTTGGTCATGGAAGAGCTGAATGAAATGTTTGATTTCAAACGGAAATGTCTGACTTTTGATTGATGATTTTTGTTGCTTGGCAAATATGAGCACAATTTGAGACATTATTGTCCTCTTGGAGTATATAATTATTAAAGTCTATTGTGCTGGAGAGAAAAAAAAAACTTAAGCATAAGTTTCCATTTACTTTCAGCCTCATTGCTTTCTGAGAGAAGCAACTGAGACATTAATCAGAACTCATTTGAGATTTTTCTTGTCAACGGGGCAGCCTCAAGAGAAACTTGCCGTTTTCACCTGGCAGACAATAAATTAGGCAGAAAATTTCTAACCACTGCCAAATTTTACAAAGTGTGCACATTACAGAGAAAGGCTCTTTGTTACTGTCTGATAAATCGCAATTCGATTCAATTCACAATTCAATTCAGTCTCTGCTTTGGGGTTAAGGAAGCATATTTTGCATAGTTCTGTCCCATATGCCCTGTTTGGAACCTGAAGAAAAAAAAAAAAAAAAAAAAAAACATGATAAATCTCATCTCTGATATCTCAAATATCTGATGTGATAAGCTGCCATAGTAGCAATATGTGTAACGGAGTAAAATAAAGCAAGACATTTGTCTGGTTATAAATAGAGAGAAAGGGAAAGACTGAACATTTTCAAATGTGTCCTGGCAAAAACAAAACTGACACACTTCAATTATATCTGAAGCTGAGACCAGGCTGGAAAGAAGAACGTAAAGGAGTAGTTTACTTTTAGAAAAACTTTTGCTGATAATTTACTCACCCCCATGTCATCCAAGATGTCCACGTCTTTCTTTCTTCAGTCGAAAATACATTTTTGAGGTTTTTGAAAATTTTTGAAAGAAAGATTTTTGATGAAAACATTCCAGGATTTTCTATGGACTTCAATGGGATCCAAACAGTTCAAGGTCCAAATGAGAGTTTCAGTGCAACTTCAAAGGGCTTTAAACGACACCAGACGATGAATAAGGATCTTTTTAGGACTTTTTGTGTCATGACTCGAAAAAAGATTTGTTCATTTTGATGAACAGGAGAGTCACGAACGCTCATCACAGAACAGAGCAAGGCGAGCATTTGTGAACTTAAACATTACAAAACTTAAACTTTTTTATTTATTATTTAAATGGCTGATCGTTTCGCTATATAAGACCCTTATTCATCGTCTGGTGTCGTTTAAAGCCCTTTGAAGCTTCACCGAAACTCTCATTTGAACCTTGAACCGTTTGGTTCCCATTGAAGTCCATCATATGGAGAAAACCCTGGAATGTTTTCATCAAAAACCTTAATTCATACAAGTGAACTTCATGCATCCTTCGGAAAACTGTCAACATCTCCTCAGAAGAAAGTCAGTCATACGGGTTTGAAACAACAAGTAGGCTAAATCATGACAGAATTTTCATTTCTGAAAGAACTATTCCTTTTAACAAAATGCCAAATAGAAAGAGCCCTATCTAGGCGTCACTGTCTCCTGAGTGTTGCCATCTTGTAATCCTGCTAGCAGTAGTATGTCATTACTCAGCTAGGGTACAAATTAGACACGTAACATTTTATTGCCAGTGATTAATTCATGAAGCAATTTTCAAGGCAATAACTCAGACCTCAGTTGAGAATGAGGGGCTAATAATAAAAGAAGTCATCGAAAGAAACCGACCAAACATGTAGTGAGGCAAATCTGCCAGGCATTCAATTTCACTGGAATAAGAAGTGTGACAACTATACATCAGATAACCAATGTTTGATAGAATTATGAATTATGAAATTAAACAGAGAAGCTGTAATATCGAGCAGTAATAATAATGCGATGAAACTTTACAACATAGAATTCTATTTAAATTCTGTTTTCAAGCATGGAGATTCCTGTTCATCTGCAAGTGATATTGCACTCTTCAGCCCATCGCACCCTGCATGTAAACCACTCTCACTACTGTAACAGTTCATAAACCTGCACAAATAACACGTTTCTAAAGAAAAAGCCAAGAGATGACTCACTGCTATTCAAACCAAAAGTCAAGAGAATAATTTGCACTCATTTAATCATTATAGTATATGAAGATAATCACTGCTGTTTGGAGTGACATACTCTGTACAGTTCAATAGAGGTTACGTTTGCACGAACCACAACAGAGACATCAAAGTAACTAAGCAACTGTTGTCAGGTTTTAAACTATTACTATAAAGGCATTATATTAACATAAGCAAAAGGCAAATATCCTTGCTCTTCATACAACTATGGTAAACAAACCAGCAGAACGTCAAATAATTCAAGTTATCTAAAACCGACACAATACTGGGGATATATGTGTGTGTGTGTGTGTGTGTGTGTTTGTGTGCGCTTGTTGAGCTACGTGTCAAATGAATCACAAACGCAATGAAAGCTACAATCTCCACACTCAATGTCCTTGGGATAGAAAACACAAAACATCACATAACATTAACCTTTACTCGCATATGGACACACGCATATATCTGTGCTTCTTTTAAAAGGTTACATATGATTAAGGTTGCTTAAATTCTGTTGGGTTCACAGTTTATTAGAGGGCTTCCAGCTTTTATGTATGCTGCTCTGCTAAAACAACAGAGCCCTGCAGGACACAGAATATTCATATCGGACAAGGACACTATGTAGGCCATCCTTTAAATGGGTGAGGGTGGCCTCTTAATGGTGCTGCTGGGTTGAACTTCTTAAGAAAGTTTGGATAAGAGGCAAAAGGCAGGCAAAGCTATTTAGGATGCATTTGGGAAAATAAGTGTTCATCAAACTGAATGAATGGGACCCATTTACAGTGAGAGTATCATAGACTAAGCTGCTGTTTCTTTCTGAATGGCTGCCATGGCAACAACCACATGACTAGCTCAAAACTCAAACTGAACTCATATCTCTGTTCATTGTGGTTTCTGGTGCAGCTGGATTCAGGCTACAGCGAAGTAAAAACTAAAATGCAACATCAAGCTTACCAACCTGTTTTGCCCTGTGTTAATAAATATCTGCAATACAGATGGGACAAAAACTGCTATGAGATGCACAGGAACAAGGTAAAATGGCAAATTGCTGGTTTATTTTTGGCAAAGTACCATAATATGGAATGTTTTTGGTTATTTGAAACACCTGTTGATACCATGTTATTTGTCAAAGTAGCCTACAATGGGCCTACATTTTTGTACGGGATATGACATGGCCAAAAAAATACATGTTTAATTGACTGAGATTACACCAAGTGCTTCTTTGTATAACATATGTTAGCATGCATATTGTTTGAAGGTTAAATCCGCAAAATCAACTATCAACACTACTCCCCCGAAAACCTATAACCATCTACTTGTCAAGTTCAAGAAAAGTCAGGTAGGACAACTGAACAACATCGTTTCATGACCACCAGATGTCGACATTTCCGTCGATTATCAAAGAAAATCTCTCAAAAAAGAATTATCAAGGATTATTTTAAGTATACGTGTAATGTAGGCCTATATTTCTCGTATCTATCATATCCAGCTTGAAGAAGAACGGGTTTCGAGAATTGAAAGAGAAAATCAGATGCTTCTCGATAAAATGGCCCATATAATGCAGACCAACGGCGGAGTTGACTGCAGAAATGACTATGTGAAGAAAAGGTATGAAATTTCCAACAATATTACATATTTAATAATTTACATGATATTCAGTCATATTTAAATATTGCAATTTGTGGCTTCTGTTTTAGTCTTGGCTCAGAAAAAAGACTGCGGGAGCTGTTTCACATCACCAAAGAGAATCAGCGTATCCTTCAGCGTTTGTCCACAAGCAGGCCATGTTACAGCGTTCAAGTGTGGCACGAGCAGTGGCTCAAAAACCTTGAGCTCATGGAGAATATAGGGAGATATCCGCGGCTGTACAACGCACAGGTCGGCAAATTATTACTAAAATGTATAGAAATTTACGTATGCATGATTAATCATTATCTGATGCATTTTTGGCTATTTATGCATATTCGTGCATACATAGGCTAATGCATACTCTGACTTGAGTTTTTCCATTTTCTGTGCTATTAAAGAGATCCTCCTTGCCACCCATTTCAGCTGACAGACACTGAAAGGGAGAGAACAAGAAAACTGCAAGAAAGAATGAATGGTGTAAGGAATGAAAGGAAGGAATAGATGAGAAGACGAAATATACACAAGTTACAACTGAAGACGAGCGTAATTACAGATTACAAAATGCAAATCTATATTATAATCGTAAGTTAATTTGTAAAGATGTTTTCTATATGTCTATAAGGCAAGAATTAAATGTTCTTTGCTTTGGACAAGTTAAATTATTTGGCTAACCATTAGGCCTAACTGTCAATGTTTTAACCATAGACTGGAAAAAATATGTTTTGATGTTTTTCTTTTTTTATTTGATAATTTATCCCCCCCCCCCTCCCCCCCATACTGTTTCTGTGCGATGTACATATATCTAAATAAAATGATTAAGCCAATAATGTCTGAACATGTGTCTGATATGACCAGATATGAACATGGGATCTCGACTCCTATGAAAAAAACAAACAACAAAGAAACAAACATGAGATTTCCTGAATATATATATATAAATGTTTATATAGGCTATGTTTAAATGACAGGGCTATTTTTAATCGATTAGCTATGCCTGATCACGATATCATAACAACACACGAACTTTCTGAATCGATTAAGCGGGTCTGATCAAGTCGCCGAGCATCACAAGGGTGGAATTAACTGAAAATGTCTTTTGGTTAAATGCATTAAGGATTTATGACATCTCTAAACAGCTGTCATTGACATGGTGTAAAAACGATGGTACAGGTACGTCTAAGATTTATGCTATGCTATGATACAAGAATGCTGTTATTAGTTTATCAGGCAGCTAACGTTAGCTTTGCTAACTTTACCGGGGGCCTTTGATGTAAACAGGAAATTTGACGTTGTTGTTAGTAAATAATTATGTGTGTTAAATATATTGTGTAAGTTATATATTATGTCAAATAACCACAAACAAAGTAGATGTGTGTGAATTATAAACCTAGCAAATTAAATGAATGAAATACTCTCCGATAATATAGCATCATCACATCTTAAATGTAACGCATCTCATTCTCAGTATTCATCTGTATTTATTTGCTCTGTATATTCTATTATGTGTCGGCATGTTCTCTAATATGCATTTACCGATGCGCTAAACCTATTTATAGTTTTCCTCATCCACTTCACACATGATTTGTGTTTTGAGTTTTCTAAAATAATAAACACTTTTCCTGCCGTAACACCGTGTTTTTAATAATGTATACGTAGAATTAACGCTCTGCAGCAGTCTTAAAGTTAGCTCGACGTATATGATAAAAGTAAAATAAACGCTACGGAATGTGAACTTGTCATACTATGGCGAAGGCTTCCTGAATGACGCCTGCTATCGGAAATTTCCTACCTCCCACTTCTGACGTCGTGGTTATGAGCTTATCGTATTCAAATTGACTTGAAAGGCTATTCATGTACATTTTTTTAAACAAGAAACAAGTAGGCCTATTCCCGATAATTCCAATAGCATGTGAAGGGAGCACTAGTAGTACACTTGCCTAATTTCGTGAAAGGCAGACATTAGTTTGTGGCACTGGTAATGTGGGCAGTTAGTTGGTTGGATGGGGGTACCGCTAACGTCATAATTAGTATTCACATACGTAGGCCTTCGCCATAGTACAATTCTCAGGGAATCACATGACATATTAAAACTCATGTTTTCGTTTTCCTGCCTTTTTGAGCCATTATTCTATACACATCAATTGGTCACATACAGTTACTTTAAAGTAAACATCCTGTTTTTAAAATCAGTGGATAATATATGATAAATCATTAGTTATTACTTTCTCACTGACATGCTTAGAGGAATCATTTTATAAATCTTAATTGTCTTGAGTGTTTGAACTGACAATTCAATTTGGTATTGTCCAGAACATTGTCCAGAAGTACTATAAGGTTAACTTTCTTTTAGTCTTCATTGTAAATTTTTGGTCAAGTTTTGTTCTGTAGTCAGCAATCCTGTGATGTAATAATCACATGTTTTAAGTGAGGTTAACATTACATAGTTCACATGACTGACTTCCTAGAGTTGCTTTGAAATTAGAAAGGTTTTGTTTAGAATGCAATGGGGATTCATCATTTATAAAGACATCAATAGTACGAAACAGCAGCATTTTATCAAACGTGTACCTCTTAATCAAAATTGTGCATAATTTATTTCTGTGGGGTTATTTAAGGATATTTGTGAAGTTAACATATTCAAAATGTAATAAGAAATTCTAAATAAAATAGTAAGGTATAATTTTAGGTTTGAAACCTTTCATATAAACAAAATGTATAAATATAAGTAGGTTTAAAGGCTTAGCTCACCAAAAAATTATGTCATTAATGACTCACTCATTTATCTTCGGAACGCAGTTTAAGATATTTTCGATTTAGTCCGAGAGCTTTCTGTCCCTCCATTGAAAATGTATGTACGATATACTGTCCTTGTCCAGAAAGGAAATAAAGACATCATCAAAGTAGTGTGACATCAGTGAGTTAGTTAGAATGTTTTGAAGCATCGAAAATACATTTTGGTCCAAAAGTTACAAAAACTACTGCCGACTCTATTAAACATTGTATGGGCTCTATGCACGGCGTTATTTCCGGTAAGGGATTAAGGATGCTCGATAACTTCCGCCGATCGTAGAGTCCAATGCAATACTGAGAATTTATATTGAATTTTATACTCCATGGTTATACTAATGAAACGTTAGTCACAAAAACAGATAAAACAGACACCCCTCGTTGTGTTTATGCTTCTTTTTAAAATTATATTAAATAAATATAACTATATATAAAATTACATCTAAACGTATACGTTTCGTTTCAAAGACGGGAGGACAGTAAATATTGAAGACTCTGCCATAATCCCGTTTTCTCCGGTTTTCCTCCGCTTTAATCTACACAACCGGAAATGGACGAGCATCCTTACGTCAAATACGGAACTTATGCGTGCATATAGCCCATTGTCTTCCGGTTCTGTTGTCAATCCGCGTTCAGTGACACTGATGGGACGTAAGACGCTGCTGACATGTTCTCTAGTAACCAGCAATGTTAATAAAATCAACAATAAACTAAGAGAAAATCAACCTCTCACTGCTCTGAGAACTTTAATAATACTTTTATAAGTATCAATGTATATTTTATACCGTGAAGTCTATGTAGAGTTTTATTTTTATATTTGTTCATTTCATTTCTTTCTTGAATACTTCTGTTAAATGCACCTACTGTAGCAAAAAAAAAAAAAGATATTCGTTTGGTTGTAATGCTCAGGCACTTGCAAAATAGTAACAAAAAATCATGACATGACCAAATAAAAAAAAACAAAAAAAAAAAACAATATGTTTGGAATTGGTTTGCTCTGAATTTGCAGGGGCAGTGACATGGCTGCCGAAGACAAGGCTGAGATGGACTGGAGCTCTGAGGCGCCACTCTCGCCCATCAGTCCCTCCCATCTAACGCACTTCAAACCCCTGACCCCCGAGCAGGATGAGCCGCCCCTGCGCTCCGCTTACAGCTCCTTCGTCAGTCTGTTCCGCTTCAACAAAGGTGAAACAGATTTATTTCTCGCCATTATGCCATACTCAACATCTGCACCTGCATTTCTTTTCTTTTTAAAAGTCTATAAATCATTCATTTGTTTTCAAAGTTTTACCGTTTGTTTTCTGACATCATCACTGAATCTTTTCGGCTAAAGTTGTTTGTTTTCTGTCATCAAACACTGATTCATTGATATCTTGCTTTATGCAATTATCTGAATGTAGTCCCTTTTAATGGATCAATAGCACTTATTTGGATGGATGCATATGATTTTATATTACTGATGGCCAAACACCAAACCTTAACTGCAATCATTTTTATCTTTTGAGTAACGTTTGATTTCTGAAATAAAAGTTCAAGGTTTTGTAATAGCTATTCTGCTGGAAATTCCCGAATGGCAGAGCAGGGAATTGTATGGAAGGGTCATGTGACAGTGCTCGAGATGTGCCAAGAACACAGTGTGCATTCCACTCCACGACTTCTTTTACTCTCATGTTGTTGTTTTTTTTCCCCCTATTTATAGTCTCAACAGGCTATTTCTGCTAGAAGCATTGCAGTACACAACTGAAAAGGGAATTATTAAAATTAAGTTATAAAAGCATAGGAAAATTACTCCAAACTGAAGTGACAGCAATAGATGATTGAATAAATGCTCTCCATTAAAGAAGTAGTACACTCGAAATTGAGGGGTAAAAACAAAAGCTCACACTGTGAAAAGATGATGTTCTCTAAAGAACACCAAAGAAAACTGTATGTGTACTTAATTAAGAAAAGGAAGAAAATCAGACAGGTTTAGCAACATTTCAGTCTTTATAAGTATGACAGGACACACAGATTCTCTTTTGCTCTGTTATAACGAAGTTGCATTTGTGTTTGACATAATGATTAATGATTATTTTTATGTAATGTATTCAATCATCAACTCATTGGAGCTAAAGAACAATCTGACGTACTACAAAAGAGAAGTTCCTTGAATTCAAATTACATTTCTTTTAATATTAGTCTTGATTTACAGTTAATCAGTGTGATTATCTGTAAATTCTTCAATTCAAGCTACAGTTATAGCGATCAACTCTCTAACCTCTCCCTTTCATTCCTTTTAGAAAAAACAGGTGCAAACATTGCACCAGCAAAAAAGCTTGCTAAGCTTGGTAAGTCTAGCTTTTGTACAGAAATGAAAGTAAAGCAATTAAATAAAAGTATAGAATTAATACATGGGAAAAATGATTTCGGAATAAGAAAATTAAAAGAAGAAATGTCAACACAATGCAAATTCTTTCAATAAAATCAGACAATCACCACAAAATTTCTACCCAAAATCCACCATTTCCTCATGAATCTTCCACCTTCTGACCAAGCTTTTCTGTTGGTTTCAATCATTCAGAGGAAGGACGGCCTCCTTCAGTGACAGAGAAAAGTCAGTCGGCTTCATCATCACCGCAGGGGCCACGGCACACCTGGTCAAGTCCTTCCCATTCCATACATGGCTCTGAAACCCACAGGAAATATCCGGAGATTCTCCGAAGAACATCCACTGCTTCGGGTACAAAAGAAAAAAAAAAATTTACATGTCTTTTAGTCTATCCACAATTAACATCCTGGTTTTACAATTGTTTATATTGGGGTGAAATATTGACCCGGTCACATTCTACAGAAGACGATGCTAAAATCATGTGTTTTACTGTAGATAAAACTATCGTTCTGAATTCTTTAAAACATGCGCTTTCTAGAGTTAGAAAAGGCAACCCTATCATTGATCTCTTTGATCGATGACTAGTCATTGCAGCCTGGTTCTCACAGGGTTTATCATTGAAGATAACAGTTGATTCAAAGGCTAGACTCTGTACTC